ATTTGCGAACAGTTTTCCACTCATCTGTATTCCGATTAGGAGAAAAAAGCGTTGGTAAACTGGTTACACTGTCTCGTGAACAAGTATGAATCTCGCCTTTAAATCTATTTGTCACCATACCCAATGAACATATAAAATGTCCAATTGTAATTCGCATGAAGTAACTAATGATACGCGAAAGAAATGTCGCTGCAGCAGACATTTTGCATAACACTACAGGCCTTTTACAAGTTCGCACTTAGTTGTGCAAAGACTAGGGGTGCGCCCTCAAAATAGAAAAGCGCCTAGTGATACTGGGGACATCTCTGGTACCAAACGTCCAAATAACTTCATGATCTAGTCTGGAATCGGCTTATCCTTTCCAATAAGCCACTAGCAGTAAAGTAAGTCCGGTTCAATACCACACCTAACCTATCGGGGCCTTATGTGTTTCATTACTCCAAGTCCCGGTTAGGTTACCGGTTTCCATCAATGAACAGTAGGTCCTGGTGATTTTGGGGCTTACTCTGTCTGCTGTTCATCACACGAAAGTGTGTAATAAAAAAATTTACTATCGGTGCATTATACGGTACATCAGTCTGTGCCACATGGTTTACGTTGCCGGCTATCATGATTGGGCAATAGTTCCCCCCTAATATAACGGTTTTTTTNATGTGTACCAAAAAGGACTTCAGAATATTGGAACAACTTATTCGCAATATTGCTTATACGATAGTCCATAAAATTGTGGTATATTAACTTCGCGCATCTTCAAAATTCGATGCCAGGCATATCTTTCACCTTTTCCTTTTTGATAAGCTTCCAAACTAGTTCCCTACAGTTAGCTCCTTCGAAATTTCTTAAAATATTTTCCTGTGTAATATAGATATTGTGACATCTAGTGAGAAACGAACCCAATCGAGCGCAGGACGTATCGGCAATGTTTTGGCATACACATCGGATGGGAACAGGAAAACCGTTCAGTTAGTAGATGATGTGCAAACTGAAACTCGCACAACTCGCGTTGGTTAAGGATCATCATTACAGGACAGATACTTTGGGCTCCTAAACGATCTCCCAGGGGTTAGACTACGCTAGTTACCATGATAGCGGCATATAATGCCCAGAAATAATCAAAATGATCACTGGATGCTCACAAGCTAGATATATGCTTCGCGACGTATAATGGTCACTTCATGGACATCAAAAATAGCTGGTCTACTGTAAAGTATGTTTAATTGGGCCACCATTTGCGAATAGCAGAAGAGCAAACAGATTGTTTAGGGTTCCTTTATGCTAGAGTTCCATCGGAAGAGACTTTCTCGTGTATCCGTTAGGTCCCGAATGGCTTCTGAATTTTCTATTTTGACCTTTAATAGCTGATTAATGTTATGAATAGAATAAAGCATACCAATTTGTTACTGGTCTCTACGAATGTGTGTTTAGATTTTACCGAGAAAGGATTTCCCCTGCCCATCAAGCTTGTAGGGTAAAATTATCATTATTATCAAATGTGTCATGAAAAATCAGTTCTTATAACGAAAAAATTGGTTCACGGTCTTTCTGGAGTCTGGTTGCCCAAGCCAAAGTAGGGAGCCTTCCTGGAGATTGACAACCGGATAAGGTGGAGTGTGAAAACTGCAGTCCATTTGTAGCCAGTGTCCAACCATATGGATTCCATGCGTCTAGTGCGTTGTTTACACGTACAGGACTACCAATCAATACGGTGCGTGCAGCAACCAGAAGTCCGATTGTAAGGCTCTTATTAGGGAGGGGGCGTTATAATTAGGGTTTCTGAGGTACACTATCTGTGGTGCATCTACCCTAATATTGCCTTTTCGATCTTTACTATGAGAGAGAGAACACCTTCGCTGCGAATGAGTACGGCTTACGCTAAAGATGCTTTAGATGAACTCACATGAGAACATTTTTGGCGGGGATGGGGTGATAACGAGGCTTCGGCTACATTCGGATCCGGGGATTCTTGATGATAGCACGATCGGTTTTATCAGGTCATGCAGACGAGTGTTTGCTGAATAAAGAAGACAGCGTTATTTTAATTTATAGACGGGGAAACAGCGAGTAGGGAAGGAGCCGGAAGGTCTCCTCTTATTCGAGCACTTGAGACGGTCACAACCCGTGTTACGGTTTGAAGCCCTTTCATCGGATGTTTTATTAAGGCAGAATGATGATAATCTATAAGAAAGTATTATTGGATGCCGAGCAACAATGGTATCGTTCTACAGGAGGCACAGGAACGATTCCATTTGAAACCATCTCTAAATTGATAATATCAAAAAATATCCGATCGGTGGGAACGTTTATTGAATAGAAAGTAACATTGCGTGTGTACAGATTAGCGCAACGAGCCGGAGCAAGTTGGGTGAACGAAAAAAGAAATCGTACAGTAGCTAAGGTTTTGGATCCAGGCTAGCTCCTGAACTCGAAATGTTTAGCTTAGATGGGTCAAATGGAGTTCCCTGGAAAGGAGATCCCTCTTGGTTCCATGCGTGTGAAAGCATCTTTTGAATTTTCTGAACGAAACAGTAGGATAAGAAAACACAATACACATGTAAAAAGTGATTAGAGTCAATTTGGATGTAGGAATTCAGAGATTATTATTTAATTACGAGAATTGTAATATTACTGTTGTGTCCACTCACGCCGACCCAGCAATAACGTGGATAAAGACAAAGTGTCAACGACAGTCGCAGTCATGCACATGCGCTACACTTACACGCTCACCGTCAAATTGTGGGTTTTTCATTCACTATCATGCGTCGTCTTTACTCACGGGATGATATTATTTGTTTCAAACGTGCCAGGATATGCTTCGATGGTTCAGCGATTTGTGCGACTCCAGTTTCTCAATGTCCAGGCTG